CAGACATTTTTAGAGGCTCCAGGCCGTGGTCAGATGCAGTCTGGACCCCAGCAGGCAGCTGGATTTAGCTGTGATTTCGAGTTTGAACCATGGAATGAATTACCAACTTTGAAGGTAGAACAAGCAGTCACAAAGTGCTAGATAGTATAGTAAATGTAGTCACAAAGTAGAGGGAAATATTTTTTGGTAGTGTACAGGGGGGTTTTAGTGCATGTACAGGGGGGTTTTTACTTTGTACATGGGGGTCAGAAGTTCTAAGATGGAGGAAAGTGGGCTGAACCCATCCTTCTTCTTTCTTCTTCCTTGCCTCCATGTTCTTGGTGATGTTGGCACTCACAGATTGGTTTAGAATAGAAAAACACTTGGTAACGTAGGTAATAGGTATTGGGGAATAATTGTAAACATGTTATACGTAATATATCTTATAAAAGATAGCAGCAGCCCTGGGCGGGGAGAGAGGAGAAGAAGACACCAGTCAGGGTGTCAGGAGTGTGTGCCTCTCTGCCTGGGCCGCTGACCAAAGGGCTGCAGCCCGAGAACTTAATCTGTTAGATAACTAGCAATAAAACATCTTGAGACCGAACAAGAAGAGACTGTGGAGTTTTCCTTTGGGAACGCGGGTTGGAGGAGAAGCTCTACCACCACACAGGAACCCCAGCCAAACCCGGGGTTCCGACATAACGCTTCTTTCAACTACTATATTTATTGCAAGCTTCTGTTTATTCCTGGCATCCTTCCTTTGTGTTGAGTTCCTGTCATTGCCTGTCTCTGCGAACTTCAGTTGCCTCATTTCCTTGGTTGCTTTCACACTATGTGATGTTGTTCTTGCGTCCTGTTCCTGCCCCCCTTTCCCCATCCCATTCCTCTTATGAAGAAGTGTCAAAAGGACAGTTGGTAGCTGAGAACAAAAGATGAACTTCTGAGCCATTTATATTGTGCAGAGAGTTATTTAAAGAGTGACAGGTGGTTTAGTTTTTATACCAATAGTATTATTTTTCCTTTCCTTCCACTTATAGTGGCCTCTGGGCTTTTCCATCAAGTTGTAGGATTTTTTAGCCTTTTTAGAGTGTGTCATGTTTTGGCCATGTACATTTGACTTGACCCCAAGAGAGAAGTTTTAGAAAAGGCTTTGGAAAGCAACCATGGGATGCTTGTGTTAGCTCATCTTGTCCTTCTGTATTCAGAGAGACCCTAGTGAAATGAATCACTTAAAATTATGACTGTCCAGGAAACAGATAATAAAGAAAACCTATGCCAATTGTAACCAATGTTTTTTTATGTAGTAGGATGCCTCTTGACATTGTTTGAGGGCAAAGGAGAAGTGATTTCTACAGGAGGGTAATTTTTTTTGTATAGATACTGTGAAGTGTCTGCATTCCTGCTAGAGCACCTGTAATGATATGACTTGGAATTAGCATAAAAGATTGTTGAATTTAATATGATCTTCAGTCATACCTGTGCAACAGGTAGATTTGTTCAACATTAAAATGCTGGGAGAAGCACTAGGCTGCTGTAAGATTGGCTTATTCAGTATTTCAAATCAGGTTTATAAGAAAATGTGGGTATTGAGATTTTACAAGTATGACAAATAGAGATTTTTATCAGTATGACAAATTATCCATGTATATATTATTAATAGAATATTGATCTCTCACTTATGTTTTCAACAAATCATATGTACAGGATTGCACAGCAGCAGTTCCCATTTCAAACTCTGGTTTTACTTGCTTTTATGAACTATATGTCAGGGCAGTTCTTGTACAGTAATGTGTTGATATCAGTGAAACTTCAAGTTCTGCAGGGAGGCAGCTGTTTGGTTAGTACATAACTTCCAATGGAGATCCGTCCTGATGTAGACAAATATTAGATTATGGTAATTGGCAGGATTGTCTTCTAAAAGAGGTACAGAGGTAGGCTCTTCACATGAGGCTTAACTTGAGGTCCTTATATGTTCTTTTTGCTTATGAAAATTATGATTGATAAAAATGAGGTTTTGGATAAACATCACAATTTTTTAAGAATATGCACAGTATTACACCATTGTAATTGCTGGTTAAAAGGTGCATACAACAGTTTTATCTGTTAAAATAAGAATTATTCTGAGAAAGTATGGGAGCCACTCAAAATATCTTACTGTATGCTGCCAGTAGCAGCATCTTGAAGAAACATTCAGACAAGGGAAAATTGTAATAATTCACTGATATTTACTCAAGATTTTCAGAATTGTTCTTAAAACATTTGGAGAAAGGGGGAGTAGAGTAGAGAGAACACATAGCAATTCATACGCTGCTTCAGATTTATTGAAGTAGTTGCAAGACAGACATTCAGTGCTTCTTTTAAGCCTCTGGGAAAAATATTAGTGAAAAATAACAGTATAGAAGAAAAATAAACATTGAGAAGTATTTTTCCATTTCACATAAAAAGCTTATATACTTGACAAAATTACAGGGTAGTTACCCTGTCATGTATCCCAGTTGTGCATTTATGTATGGCCCTGAATCTCATTTTGAACTTCTTTTTTAGTGTCAGAATGACAAAAAATGAAAAAAATCTCATCCTAGATCTTCACTAGATCCTCTTATTATCTGCTCTCTACTCTCCTTTTACAAAAAAGAGAGGTGTAAAAGGAGAGTGGAGAGTAGAGAGTAGATAGTAAGAGGTTCTAGTGAAGGTTTAGGATGAGATTTTTCATGTGCAAGATCTTGAATAAGGTTGGGATTAAAAAAATTGGGTTTTTTTCCTCAGTTTCTTATTTTCCATTACTCTCTCCTACTTTGCTTATGTTCTCTTGTTCTTTCCAAAAGCCTTTCAAACCTACTTTTCCTCATCCTTCATTTGATGATACTTTGCTTCACCTCTTGCTCTGGTTCTAACCTGATTGTTCCCTTCTCCTCTGATTCAGCTGATGCTAGGCGATGATCATACATGCTGCTGCCATGTGTGGAGAAAAAAAAGTAAGCAGCTAGTGCAGTTAAACGGAACCTCCTTTTATCTCACTAAATGTTAGTTCAGGTGGGAGTGTGTGCCAGCTGTTTTGAGGTCTTGGTAACACCTTTCAACACTGACCCATTTTGCTTCTATGAATCTTCTAATGAAAGACGTCATGGCATCAGCCTTTCAAGAAAAAGGCTGAGCTTGCCCCCTCTTAAAAGAGCGACTGGAAAGTTTTTGTGTAAACTGTCATGGCCAGCATGCTGCAGTCTCCTGATTAAATCTTTATTGAGTATCTCAGAGCAAAGAAAATAGAGGTATGGTGCATGGTAATCTGAATGGCTCTTTTACCCTTCTCTGAAGGTATCTGGAATATTTTGGCTGAGAATAGGTGAAAAACATCCTGTGTTACTTTGTTATGAGCAGATCAAAAAATGCAAAAAGCACATTTTCTTGTGGGCAGGAGGATTTGTGAGCACTAACCTGTAAGCCTTTATTCAGTATTTGGTTTTTCACAGCTTTCCTCACTGGCACTTGGGGCAATCTGGTTCTTTCTAGTTGTAAACCGTCTCTTTATTTGTATTGCTGTGGTCTTGTGAGGATTATTGCAGCCATAACTATAAAAGATCTAGAGCATAGTGATATGAATTGATAGAATAAGAATTGGGGGTGCATTCTGTGATCTACCAGGGGAGTACCTGGCATGTGTGCACCCTACACTGTTTACCCAGAATGTGTGGGCTTGGGTTCATTACAAAGCATGTGCTTGTAATGTGATCTTTAGTCTTCTGCAGTCAATAAGGCACATTTTCAAATAAGGATTCAAGAAAAACTTACACAGGGAATCAAGTCTATTTATTAGTCCATCTGCTAATAGCCTGGAAAGAAAAATGTTCTATTTCTGAAAGAGATACAGCCATCGGAGTGTATTACGGAGTTTCATCTCTGAGTGTTTGGATGCATTATAATTTTCCGATATGTGGATTCCTGCTCTTCACAGTACATTCTGGCTCATTAGTATCTAAGACAGAGATTAATGCTTTTCTGGAAGAAAAATATGTTCCTTGGAAGAATCTAAATTCTTCTCACATGCATGTACACAATAATTTTCAGTTAACTCAGTTGACATCTTGGCACATCCCAGTGACTATGTTCTAGATTAAGGACTGGTACTGATACTCTGTTATGTATATCTTGATTCATTTTACTGGGGTGCTATGTATTGTATAAACAGGGAGGCACCCATTTGTGTGAAATCATTACTTTTATTTCTGATGTGAGGTTAACACTATAAAGATTTGTCAGCAATTTTATTTTTCAGTGGGACATCAAGAATAATTGAAGTAATGTTCCTCTTAGCTATTACAAAATTGTGGGTGTGGCTGGAGCTGTGCAAACACAGTGGGCTTCTGTTAATTTAATCCATCTGGATATACTGCAAATCACTAATCAGAAGGCATCTGTTGTTGGTATAGGCTGTTTCCATTTGGTTGCTCTTCCAATATACCTGTTTTAGTGTAACTTCTGCATAAGAAGCTTGTAGGTTTTTATTGTAATGTTTTTCAAAATGTGTGACTTCATTGTGCAAAAGCTGGAGACTTAAACACAACAACATGCTTTTAAGGAGAAGAGTACACACTTATGGCTGTGTTTGAAAAAGAAGGATTTTTTTCTCTACCTATTAGAATGTACAGTACACCTATGTTTTTTGTGTGTGTTATCTTTTTGAACTTTTTCACCCAAGCTTCTTAAGAAGCTTGAAGTAAAAATTGCCCTGTCCCTAATCCTTAGAATTAGAAACTAGAGGAAGGAGTGGTATGTAGAGACCCATAACAAGTCTGACGCAGCCATTTAAAGGATAGATAAAAAGGAATTTAAAATCATAATGTTCTCTAAATGCTTATTATTTATTTCAGACACACTCTTTAAGAAAACAAACAAATGTTTGAATAAGCGTTTTGAAAATTCTGTTGAAATGTATTACTCTTCTTGACTTCTAATTGCATTAATCCTTTTATATAAGAGTGTGGAGGTATCTAACTAATCTCTTTTTTTTTTCCCCTTCCTAGTTAATGGTCTAATGACACTTGGATTTGCAGGTGAGTCTTACCTCAAAAATTCAGGCTTCTGTTTCTGTTTTTCTAATGATTGACATTTGAGAAACACTTCCATCCTGTCTCATATCAAGTACTCAACTGTCATGCATTTTTACAACTGGTCTTATCCATTGGCTGTATACAAAGAGGGTGTTGTAGTGTTTTGTAAAGGTCATTCTCAATAGTGATGGTGATATTGCAGAATTATTCATGATTTTGAACTCTTTTGGTCAGGAATTTAGACAGAAACTCTTGTGTCATCTAATTGGGCTCAGATGACTCTGATGGAGTTTTTTTTTCCTATGACCCTGCAAAATATTGAAGTTTTAAATACAGACAAGCAAAAATACCAATGGCATGGAAAATCCATTTGGACATCCTGCTGGGAAGGGGCTGGAGTAAATTGTCAGCACACATGACATAGTGGAAGAAAAAATTGTACTCTGTTGGACTTGGTTATAAATCATATGATAGCTGGCTGTTTAGAATACTCTGCCAGAAAAAGCATCTTTGTGTAACTTTTGTCAAAGCATCAGTGCAGGATTTAAGTTGCGAGCTATGCAATTTTCATATGTGGTTTTGAATTCAGCACAGCTTTAGCATTCATCTGCAGGTTTGTCTGTGTAAAGTGTAAGTGGTAACTGCTGCAGCTGCCTGATGAATTGATAGGAACACTTAAGTAGGCAGGATCCATGTTATCATATTAACTTCTCATGGATAAAATGAGGCTGCCTTTCTCTGGTAATTTTTGCCATTGCTATCACTGGTGAGTAAGTGTAGTACTGACTTTTTGCTGACATGGATGAAGGCTTCATGACAGTTTTAAGAGCACTGACAGATAGGTATGATGAAGGAGCAAGGATTAGCTGTACACCTGGAGAGGTTTGTGGTCTGTAGGAAGTTGTAGACTTATGGTTTCAAGTGCAGCACAGGCCTGCTGTTGTGGGCCTGCTGCTCTTGGCAAGTATGTGAAAGCAAGGTGTTTATTTTGCCAGATGAGATGGTTGTCATTTGTCATACAGCACCATGGAGAGAGTGACCACCAGCTAAGGAGTCAGCTGTGATAGCTGGAATGAAATTGCAAGGTACTCCTGCCCAGGCTCCAAAGGAGCCAGCTCCTTCCTGGATGAAATGATGTTCACTCAAGCCTGTTTTACAATCACATGCCTCATTTCAAATGGAGATACTCAAGCTTCTCAGTATCTAATGGCTGAGTTACGATGTGAAGCCTGAGACCAGTCATCTTGACTTAGAGTTTGGGGTTTTCTTTATTAGATAGTAAGGAATGGACCATGAGGACTTCTCTTCTTACCAAGCAAAGTCCTGCATGATTTTGACCTCAATTGGCCTCAGACAATGTGTTTAGCTGTTACCACACAAAATTAGAACCACTAGTCTTTTCAGCAGTACAGGATTCTACTTTCAAAGTACTAATAGATGCAAAAGAAATACATCCTCTCCCTGATGTAAATATGTTCTCAGTGAATTTTTGTAGGAATAAATAGTCTATTCTCCTTGGCTGTATTCTTAAAAAAAAAGCTGTTCCTCCAGAATTCTCAGGGGGATTCCCTTATATGCCAGTTTGTTAGGGTTGCAGTTTTGTTCAGGTAAATACATATCTTGGATTTGAGTTGCTGTGTATAGAAAAAATTACTTTTTTTTTTTTCTTATTAATTTAGTGTAGGTATTTATATTAAAGATGTTTATATATGTATATTTACAAGTAATTTTCAATGTTAATGAACTTTTTATACAGAATAATGATCAAATTAGTGGCATCTATTGATGACTTGATTAAAACAAAATGTTTCAGGCTTACCAAAATCAGACATTAGTCTGAAGATAAGTTTTTCAGAATTTCAGTTTTAGAAGAAATATGAAAATATTATCTTTGTACTCCAATGCAGGCATATGCTGAATGTGAAAAACATTTGACTGACTAAATCTACTGGAGTTGCCATTATAGTCTGAAAAAGTTTCAGGCTTGCTCAAGTCAAGGTTAACTCTTTCTTTGAAAGTAGATATATGCTGTAATTTCAGCATTTGATAATTTCAGATAATTCTTAGAATTACAGAATTCTTAATGTTGGAAAAGACCTCTATAATCATTGAGTCCATTTGTTACTCCAACACTGCCGAGTCCACCACTAAAATTTGTTCCTAAGTTCCACATCTACACATCTTTTTAATACCTCTGCAGATATCAGCTCAACCACCTCCCTGGATAGCCTATTCCACCCATTTTGGTGAAGAAGTTTTCCCTAGTATCCAATCTAAACTTCCACTGGCACTTTGAGCTGTTCTGATGCTTGTTACTTGGGGAAAGAGACCAAATCCTGCCTGGTACAGCCTCCTTCCAGGAAGTTGTAGAGAGCAATAAGGTCTCCCCTGAGCCTCCTTTTCTCCATACTTAACAATCCCAATGTCCTTCAGCTACTCCTCACAGGACTTGATCTCTAGACAATTTCTTAGGAGGCTATACTAAAGAAAAAGCTGTGATTGTGGAAACTCACACTCTTTAGCTGGTGAGACATACAGATATTTCCAACATTAAAGTAATTTCACAGTAATATAGTTAGTTGAATGCCATACATGTGTGTAAGCTTCAAAAGTGCTTTCTACATTGAAATGTGAGATTGGGAGATCCAGTTAGCTTTTAACTAAAAATGCAAATATAAGGTAATGAGTTATTATGAGTAGTAGCTAAGTAAGATTAGAAAAGTGATTAAATAGGTTCCTTTATGCTAGGTTTAAAAGGCTGTACTATATATTGTAGCCTTCAGTTTTTTATACCAAGTTATGTTTTTAACATATTTATGTAAATATGTATTATGTCTATTTTCTAAAATTGCTTAGAAAATTAAACCCTAAGCTTATGAGAATGTAAGTCGCAGGTTGGACTGTGTGAACAAATTTGAGTGATGTGTTTGTGCTTTTATTTCAGTATTTCTGATTAAAGGTGCATCTTATGTTTCCTAGGTGTACGTCAACAGACTGAGCTCTGCAATGAATCTCTCATGTTAGAAAAGTTGCCTGCCTGTGGAAAATACTTTGAAGAGATGATGAAGAAAGTGGACTCCAAAAAGTGGTGCAACCTTACAGAATTTATCATGTAAGAATTAGTTTCAGTTTTTAATAGTTCTCCCCTAATGCATATAAAATATTTCTGTTACAGAAAATAGAAAAACTTCTGTATTTTGTTGTCACTTGCAGAGGGCTAATCTATAGCTCTTAAGCCCTGCAGTAAGGCCATGTGAACACAGAGACACCTGGCTCATGACTCAGTGTACAAAATAGTCCACTTTAATGAAAACTAACCAATGGACTATTTAATACTGGCTACTATTGCGTTACCTCAGACAGTTGTGTTTACATTTATTCTATATTTCTGTGCCTTTTAAACAAATATTCTGTAACTAATTTATTTTCTGTGATACCACTAAAACAATAATACTTTTAGAATCATGCTGTTCTTTCTCAACAGCAATGCAGTTCCTTCCTCTGATTTCCTTTCTTTCAGTAAAATGACACTGTGTCAGTAATTCACCTCGTGAAATTGCCCTATCCAAATTTAAAGTGATTTGTCCTATTGAACTTGCTGCCATATACTTCTTTGCCTGCCAGCTAGCATGGAGAGAGCGAGCACCACCCATTCTGTTTGGATGTCTAAAATACTGCAAGACTGACACTAGTGAGGGTGACATTATTATTCTGTAATCTCTTTTCCTGTTTGATAGTTATGGGAGGTATTTAAACATCTCTCTATAAAGCTGCACACTTCAAATTCTGATCTGGAATCACAGGGTTTGTGAAATTTGTGACATTTTTGGCTTTGTGGAGTATCTGCTTTTTAAGACTATGTCTGGTCATGCATAAAGCCTAGTTTTCCAAAGTGCTGAGTACCCTCTACATCAACTGAAATTAGAAGAAACTGCAGGTGTTCAGCACTTCAGAAAACAAGACTCAAGTGAGCAAGAGCTTGTATGGTATGAGCCAGCCTGAAGAAGAACATCTTCCTGCATTTGAAACTGTGCTGGTGCTGTTTCTGGAGTCTGCTGTGGAGCCAGAGTAGCCCCAAGCCAGCTGTCCCCACACCTGTTTACAGTGTTATTGAACCCCAGATACGTTCTGGTAGGATCATTGGTCTTGTGGCCTGTTTAGTGTTGTGTCATGGGATACAGACTTTAACTAGCTGATCACCAATAGACTGGACAGATAATGAAATGTTGGACTGCAGTGCTGTGTTGCATCAGTTCCCCATGACTCCCTTAGCACCAACACCTGTGTTGAAATGCCCCACCTGTTAATAATGTTTCATAATCTGACATCATATTATCAATTTAGATGCTATTCCTTCTTAGCACATTTACTCACACACCTTGATGACTTTAAAATCTTGCAGCCTGTAAAAGGTAGATTCTTAAATCTTATGGCACTGAAATGAAGATGCAGTCATGCAGCTCTCTCCAGTTGTGGAGAAGAGTCAGAGAAGGTTAGCTCTTCTAAACTGACAGAGAAGTGTGTGTATACAAAAAAAAAAAAAAAATCCTTGCAGTGCTGGTATTGCTAAATTAATTTAATAAATATCTGTACGTTATGCAGCAATAAATTAAATTTTATAACTCATCTAGTACAAGATGTTTTATTTATTTTGAAGGAAGCACTGTAATTTTGATCCGTTTTGTCTTTATTACAATTGTTTTAGAATCACAAGATTTCTTTTCTGATATATTTGAATCAATAAGTGACCTCAACTAATGGGATTACTAGCAGCAGTGAAAAGTACCTATAGGAGCCAAAATATTAGACTGTACCTTTACTAATGAAGGTGAAAAAACAAGCAGCTTTTTGAGAGATTTCTGCTAAAATTTATTCAAGAACTTACATATTATGTGCAAGAATTTTTCAAGGTTTGGAGGTGACTGAAGTCTCTGAATTTTCCTGACTTTTAATTAGAGTTAAGAATCCACCTTGATTTTATCCTTTCCAGTTGTGCTCACTGTTTGGTGTAATTTTCATTCCCTGTACAAGAAAACTTTTTTGAAGAAGCTGGTCAGTCTGAGGCTTTGTTCATTTTTCCTCAAAAGCAGTACCAGAAAAATTCAAGGCTCTTACAGAAGAAAAATCTTTTACATTTTTAACATAATATACATTTTCTAAAAAACCTTTTTTTAATATTTCAAGTTTTATTTTAGAAGAGAGTAGCAGGAAGAATTTGTTTTGAAATTTATCTTTTGAATCAAGCATTAGAAGTCTGATTACAAACTTATGATAAGGGTTTATTGCACTGAGGAAGCAGCAAATGTGCATCTACCTTTAAGATTTTTATTTTTTTGGGAATAGGCATTGCTATTTGATGTCATGCATTCTATAAGAAGCATATAGAACACAGAATGGTTGGAAGTGACTGTAAAGATCCTCTAGTTCCAACCCCTCTGCTGTGAGCAGGGACACATAGAGGTTAATTTATAACAGCACATCGGAAGAACCCTGAGAGATGGGACAGAAACACTTCTTTCTTTGGAGTTATCTGAAAAATTAATGAAAAACTGGTATATCTACCCATGGCCACTTAAAATTCAGATATTTAAACCTGGTAGTATTTGTGCTGATTTTATATCTAGCCTCTAGCAGTAACAATTAATCAGTCTGGATCAGATGGTGGCTTAAAACTCTGAGTTTTGTATAAAAAAAACCTATTTCTTCATGCAGAAATTTCTATATGGCACTTTTCACTTAGAAATAAATAATTGTAACTTATACTGAAATGTAACAGTTAATGGAAATCTGCTAATTTTCTTTTCCTTGTTTTGTGAAGGAGTTTTAGCTCTTCACTGCAAATGGTGGTCCTCTGGTTATGGGATTGTAAATAGCAATTATCTGTAGTGCTTCACCATTTGGCCAAACTTTTGTGAGAGAATTTGCAGTGACTCCAATTTGCTGTAACCTAATTAACCTGTAAGATTTTCTGACATCTCTGGCATTCTTAACAAACTTGTGCTCTTTAAAAAGCAGCCTTTTCACTGATTTTTGAACAGACAAGGCTTCTGTGTGTGGCAGCTGGTACTGCAAACCAGTATGAGAGTTTTAGCCTCCACAGCTGATATTGATCGTGCTGGAAATGTAAGATGATCATATATAGACAGTAAATTCTCAGGTAAAGTTTTACAGAAGCACTATTAGATTAGTTTCCCTATTAATTTTTGCATATTTCTGTGAAGATTGGCAGTTAGTTAGGATACAAGTACTCTAGGTCAAATTGTCCAAAGGTATTTGAAAGCTGAAATAGTGGGATTTTAACATATTTTAAGTAATTTAGACGTGGTAGGTTTCAGTGGTTCTAGCTTGGACATTAGAATATGAAGGCTAACCACTAACAGCTTACAAGAAAGATAAAACCTTCAATACACAGCCAGAGGTGTTCATTGGCAGAAGAGAAGGAGTTTGCCTAGTGCAGTTTTGCTGAGGCCTTTAGATTATTAAGAGAGAGCATAAGATGCAGAAGATGAAAATACAGTGAGGTTGTTTAAAAGACTCAAAGTTATGGTACATGGCCAGTGAATAAATAAGCAGAGACTAAAATGTGGGTGAAAGCAATATGGGGAATTAACAAAAGCAAATATACTTTTCATTTACCAGAACACTGGAAATTACAGGAAGGTTTTTATTTTTCATGTGTAGTATTTCTGTTATGTCTACTTACAGTAATATGTGTGTTATTAGTGCTGCATTACATATAACAACTATGTATTATATTTCTTTATTATCTTAATATTTAGCAACTACAGCTGAATATGTAAAATCAAGTACTGTCTACACACCAAAATTCATTATTAACAGTCGGACTTTTTTTTGTGTGGTGTGATAAATCCTGGTGTGGGACTGCAGTTGAGAGGCCAGGTATGACTAATTCCTGAAGTAAGTGGCCAGATAAAGATGGAAGTGCCCAGAGCTGTCTTACACTAACCTGAAAAAATGTTCCTTATTGTTATTGCTTAGATTACTTTCTATTCTTAACTCATAAGGCAGTTTTTCTAATACTTTTAACTGGATCCTGGAAACAATTTAGCTAGAACAAACAAGCTCTAAACAAATCTGCTTGTGTCTCCTAGGCCTAACCCCTATGGAAATGTGGGACCAAAATGTACTAAAGGTGATTTTCAGTTAAGCTTTTGGCCTGCTCCCAAGTACCTGCTCCTAAGTTTCCTCTCTCCTACATCACCATTTTCCAAATATTTCTGAGTGTAGTTACCCTCATTTCAGTAATTCTGAGGCCAGAGAGATGGCTGTGGCCATGTCTGCACCGTTGGATAATACAGGCCATGCAATCTGCCCAGTAGTCAACTATTCTAAACATTGTAAGAGTGAGTATGTTATGGAAAGTCATCAACTCTTCATTTAAAATATTAGTATTGATTCATTGCATCTATAAACAGATTGTGTCATCTGTTACAGGTGAGGCATTTTCTTATTGCAGGCCAATACTATTGTTGCAGTACTCATCTCACAAGTGGCTAGGGTTACATACTTGCTGCTTTGGGAGCTCCCAGTAAGTCATTCTGTGTTTACCAGTCAAAGAATAGCTGTGGATTTAGAATCCAAGGGTGAAATAGCAATTTGTGTTTTGGAAGAGAGTTCTAGCAAAGTAGTGTATGTAACACAGGTCAGATCTGGATGTTCTGTTTGAGAAGAACGGATTGTAACAAACTTCTTCCTCCAATCTCTACGTTTCTTTTTACCTGTTTTCACAGCTCTAGGAGTCCCTAATTTTCTGTGAGGCAGTGGCTCTGTGACAGCACCTGGAAGATATTGAAAGTCTCATTTTTCTGATGTTTTAAATTTCAGTTCGTAGCAAAATACAAGAGGGCAAATTTTTCTTTAGCTGTATGTCTGAAGCAGATTGACTGCAGGTATGTTTGTACCTGATGAAATTCTCTACTGTGTGCATGGTCCGAGGTCTGTGCCCACTGTAAATAACTATTCTTTTTTCTGTACAGCCTTTGTGTACTTTTCCCGCAACACTTTACATGAAATGTTAATTCTATAAACAGTTTTGGCCCCATTGAAGATGATGAGGGAGTGCACCCATTTTCTGTACAGATGCTGAGGATT